GTTAAGGTTTTAACGGTATTACTACTCTTCAATGTTTAGTTATCTCTTTTATCATAATTAAACAGGGCTTTCATGTTGCGCGTGCTGAAGCTCCTCTGTGTGGGCGCGATCTCGCTTCTGAATTGCGAATAGCAAAAATGCATCATAGACAAATGTTTGAAAAACAGCTGGCGACTCTGGTGAGATAGAATTTGCAAGATAATGTATATATAGCAATAATAAATGTATGTGTGTTTTATTAATTTCTCCAGTACCGATAGCAGAACCGTTAACGTCAGAGCTTATCGATACTCCGGTCTTTCATAATTTAGCCCCGGTACCGATTAAATACCAAGTTTCGGTACCCATCCCTAACTAGGGGTGTAATAATCTGGCAGGGGTCAGAATTCAGCACTACACCGGCTCAACATCGTGATGTCCATCATCAGCGATGAACGGTGGCATTATCTATCGGCCCAACCCTAATTTGAAGAATAGCTTTTGGGTCATTCTACGAAATCGGTGCCTTTTGCGTCCCTAAGAAATAGGGGTGGGCGATATGGCATATCACGATTTTTTTTCATAAATATCACGATTCACTATTTTATCACAATTCTTTGTCATGTTGATTTTACTATTTTGCAAGTTGTCTGAGCAGTACAGCCAAATTAATTTCCCTTTTTTAAAAACAAAGCCTTTCAAGGTAACAAAGTATAAAATAAAAAAGAATGACAGATATTTAGGCCAAAATGAGCGAAGATAAAAATATTTGTCGTCATTTTATCTTTATAATTAAAAAATAAGAACAAATATATACATTACAAATAAACACAATACGAACAAATCAAACAGTGCTTTATTTTTCAGGTACAGTAGGTGTATTTAGCAGTATTGAATTAACAAATATATAAAGTGAAACACTATATACTTAAACACTATATACATCAATTGCACATTGATTCTAATGAAAGTAACTGTATTAAAGTTCTTTAGTCAAGAGCAGTGAGTGATTTTTCTCTGTGTTTTGTTGTAAGAATAGTTCACACAAAAATTAAAATTCTGTAAATTCCCGGAAAAAATCTGTCTGTCAATTCTGTCATAGTGTTTTATTTTTATACCATAATTTACTCACTCTCAGGTTGTTTTAAACCTGAATTAGTTTCTTCTGTTGAACATAAAAGTTATTTTGAAGAATGTGGGTAACCTTTCAAGGTAACAAAGTATAAAATAAAAAAGAATGACAGATATTTAGGCCAAAATGAGCGAAGATAAAAATATTTGTCGTCATTTTATCTTTATAATTAAAAAATAAGAACAAATATATACATTACAAATAAACACAATACGAACAAATCAAACAGTGCTTTATTTTTCAGGTACAGTAGGTGTATTTAGCAGTATTGAATTAACAAATATATAAAGTGAAACACTATATACTTAAACACTATATACATCAATTGCACATTGATTCTAATGAAAGTAACTGTATTAAAGTTCTTTAGTCAAGAGCAGTGAGTGATTTTTCTCTGTGTTTTGTTGTAAGAATAGTTCACACAAAAATTAAAATTCTGTAAATTCCCGGAAAAAATCTGTCTGTCAATTCTGTCATAGTGTTTTATTTTTATACCATAATTTACTCACTCTCAGGTTGTTTTAAACCTGAAAGAGTTTATTTTTTCTGTTGAACGTTATATTATTAAATTCAATGGGGACCAGCTACTGTTTGGTTACTCAAAATATCTTAGTTTGTGTTTAGCACAAGAAAGAAATTAATACAGGTTTGGGTCAACATGTAAGTGAGTAAATAAGAGCATCTAATATACAGGCATGCATCCGTTTTTCTCTCAATTGTTTACTTTAACTTTAGACATAAGCAACTGTATTTACATGTAAACCTTGTGTGTTTTTGACAGTATTAGTGCAATCAGATGCGATACATAACTTAGTTCAGTAATTAGGCGCTATTTGACAGGCTTTTAGTGTGCGCACGCTTCAGGTGTACGCACTGAAAAAGCGCATCAGAAAAGCACGCATATGAAATGTTTAACCGGCAAGGCTTTAAAGCAAATAATGTACTTTTGTGATTGTGAATAAGTGCAGTGTCCTGTGCGAGTAACTCTACCGCTGAGTTAACACTGATGTGAATGTATGTCGCATTATACAGTATATTGAGACTGAGGCACCAGAACTGCAACTGATAGAATGTGCGCTGTAGCACGATACTACGATATTTCTCCAAAAGCAGATCGTGGAGACATTTTTATCATCCACGATCAAAAACTGTCATATCGCACACCCCTACTAAGAAATAATCAAACATAAATTTAATATAACAATTAATAAATTTGCAATTTAAAAACATAATGCTATGTATTCTTTCATCCATATAACATCAAAAAAGTCAATCAAATACTATTTTAAATAATTTAAATAGCATTTATACTGATAAGGGTAAGGTTTTTGGCTGTCCCTCAATATGATTTTTCTTTTTCAGCAGGATTTGCAAAATGAAGGCAAAATGATATAAAAATCACATTTGCATCATTTTACTGATTTTATTAAAAATCACATAAAATAATTTTATTGGTGTCCCCTGATTTCATGTCAGCCCTGTTACCCTCGTCAAAAAACCATTGTAAAGTAATGTACATTCAAGTGACATCACTTCTAGGACGTTGCATCATCTCTCAACCAGGATTCCAACACTAAAATCACAAGCATGTTTCTCTCTCACTTCTATAATGTTTTATTTTTTATGATTTATGAGGCTTGACTGAGGGGGGCCATCATGCAGTGTCAATACTGTTACCATTTTGTTTATGTAAATTTAAACAGTTTATTACATTTAAAGGTGAAATATCATTAAAATCTAACTTTTCCAGGTTTTAAGTGCTATAATCAGGTCCCCGGTGCATCTACCAACCCGTAAACTTGTGTGTGAATGAGAGCTTAGTTTATTACTCACATGCTGTGGCAGCCGCTTTCTGTCCATGTGCTTCGGATGTGTGCGCTCAGAAAACCGTATATCTGAAGTTTAAACGTTTAAAACGTATGATTTCAGCTCGATAAACATGATAATCGGAACCAAAACAGATGTTTATTAGCAGATACGAAGCTATAAAGGCGCAGCTCTATTCTGGAAAAGGGGGCGGGGAGCAGCAGCTAATTTGCATTTAAAGACACAGGCCCCGAAAAACAGCGTGTTTCTGCTTCCACGGGGGAAGTCATGGTCTAATGGTTAGAGAGTCGGACTCGTAACCCAAAAGGTTGCGGGTTCGAGTCTCGTACCGGCAGGAATTGTTGGTGAGGGAGCTCATTATCACCGTGATAATACTGATAACCGTGATAATTTTGGTCACTATAATCCTGATAAGAAATTTTCATACCGTTACATCCCTAATATATATAAACCTGGTACATTTAAAAATTTACCTGGAGTGTTTTCTCAACCTTTCCTCTCCTCTCATCATAAAAATGGAGCACCACACATGACATAGCCGTTCACATCGCCTCTTTTGCGCACTCAGGTTCGTTATTTCAAATATAGTCACGCGGCAAGAACACTGCACACTTCTGCGCCGCATTACGGCTCTGACGAGGTTTTGTTTCGTCGTCCATGCCATAGCAGATTTATGTTTCTGCCGGCCGGTGGCCACTGCATAACGCGCACTTGCAATATCTGAGAAAGAGGGAGAGCATCCAGTTTTGTTGACATAAAACTGGACGCGCCGGCGGCACTCTCTCTCACTCATATAGTGAGGGAAATCCACCTGCGATCCGAGCAGAGAGGTTAGGCTACTAATGGACTGAATATGCGCTTGCAGTAATAAAGTGATCGGTGCCTATGGTCCACGCTGATAGCTGTTCCAGGGCAGTTTTTTAGTTCTCATCTCCATAAACATATATATAGCAGTCGAGCTAATAGTGGCTGGAAAGCCCTTTTTTAACATCTCTCTTGTAAAAAATATATGTTTTTCTTAATTGACATGTGGTCACCCTCCAAAATTAGGATGATGTTCTTGGTCATCTGAATGACAAATATACAAATATTTTTTAAAAATCCAAAATTTGAAACAATCCCAGTGAAAAGAGGGATTAAAATGCTGCTCATATGTGTGAAAACTATCACATAGTTCTAATTAAACTATAGCATCTAGCAACGCTTGTGTCGGTAACAGGGTTGACAAAAATATCAAAACATGAGGTAGAAAAATAGCCATAAAATAATAAATTACATAGCCTGAGATGGCACAATACAATTTCTTGTCATTTTAAGGTGTCTTCATTTCATGGATATTTAAAAAATGTTGATTAAAATAATTTTTTTATTTTTCCAAGTGGAAAAGGCACCGATTTCGTGGAATGACACTTTTATATTACTATCTTTATTTCTCAACAGTATTCAGTATTTCCCTCCAGTATTCTAGCAAAAAAAGCTCCAGACTATCTGCAGAAAAGCAAGCTACACATTGGGAGATGATGTAAAATCACATCTTGCCATCCTTTACGACAGCATTATGAGTTTATAAGTATACATGAGGAGGTTCAACGCCTCCCTCTCACCTCAGGACAAGAGAACAAAAGAGAAACTAAAATGAGGGCAATCATCTCCAATAAATACAGTCTTTAGCCTGTCAATGTTCTCATAAGAGGCCTGCAGTTACAGATATTTTTATCAGGGCAAACCCACCAGTACAATAACAGACTCACACGTAGTCGGCAAAGGCACACAACAACAAGTGAACACAGACACACAGGCACACAGTGTCTCTGTGGTGATTCTGAACCTTTGCTTATTATTTTGTTTTACAAAGATGCTGACATATTCGACACAGGAACTGATTGGATGACCTTTAGGTCAAAAGAGTCTGTCTTCTTATTCAGTATCAGGGTTAGTAATGGAAATCCATTATGAAGCAAAAGGAAGCTCAAAGGGACGGAACAGGAATCAAATGTATTTACTGCTCATCCTTTCAGGTTTATATGTTAGTCTGTGTGGCTGCAATCATTCTTTGACTTACGGTTTTTGCAGCTGTGATGATGTACTGAAGGACCATCTCCCTTTTTGTGCTCAAGTCTTTTTCTCTGAGAGGAGCTTTCTTCTCTTCATTAAGATTCATATCCTCCTGAAAACACAGACCACACATGTAAGAAGAAAAGAAATCTCTTTACAAGAAAAATCCTCTTAAGACCGTCAGTATTGTGACCAGCTTTATGAGATTCTCCATCATAAGTGGCAAAACCTCTGACCCCAAACACAAGGGTCTTTCAAATCATATACTGATTTCAAAATATTTCTAATCAAAAGAAAATAGTACTGGAGTTGCTGGTTGTAAACATAGTGGAGAAAGGCAAAGAGCATCTTTGCATCTTGCATCTTTACTTTTCAATGCTTACATGAATCAAATCATGCCTAACACCTGTTCTTTTTGGAACTGCAAATAAATTAAACCACAGGAAGTCAACCTCTGCTTGTGAATCCATCAAGCAGATATGTCTTCCCTGCATCTTATGACTTTAAGAAAAAGCAAAGGAGATGAAAATGACAAAAACACAAAGAATACTGATATGCATCTTAAGCAAAAAAAGGATATTTTATGTATCTTTAACCCTTACAGACCCAAGCATTTATATTCATTATGTTTTTTTTTTATTCTTCAACATGTCTTTAGGATGGCATTAGTAATAAAAACAATTTTGTTTAAGCAAAATTTGCATGAGGTTATAATTTGGAAAAAAACGCTTGTCATTTAGGGTTGTCAAATTTTACCTATATTTTTGATACACTAAATGGAAGTTTTGAATGCACAACACAATTCAGCACACAAATGTGTTTGAAAAATAACATATTTCAAACAGTAAGGACACAGACACGAAAAGTTAAGAAATTTCACTATTTGGCCATTTAAATAATGTATTAAATATTCATATCAAAGCATACAGTATATAATGGATAGATGGTAACACCACTATATAAACAATATACTGTATATTGTTATATTAATGAGACAATGACAAAACAGCTCAAAACATTTTTTTTTTATTATTTTTTTTTTAATATAGCATCATATCATTCATATAGACTGACTCCACTGAATAGACTCCACTTTTGTGGGAACAACAGAAAAGGTTTGACCACCCAATGCTCTCCATTGCATTTTTATTACACTTAGAAAAATGGTCACAAATGTACACACATTCAAAATTTCTGAGCATGTAAGCCTTTTCACATCACTACACACCCCATCTAATATTTTTAATACTTAAATCCAAAAGGACCCCTTTTTGAGTGACTAGGTAGCTATATGCAATTTTCTTCCCCATCAAAACTGTTGTTGTAATTGATTTCAGAGTGTCAGCTACTGTTGTATATACATTTTCTATATATTTAGGTCTATAGATTTTCTATATATTTATTATGTTAGGTATTATTTCATTTGTTTTAAACAAATGTTGTAATTCTACTGCTATGCTGGTTTGCTAAAGGTTAAAGCTGATTGTAAAAATATGCCTGGTTTTCTGCAGGAGTCACTGAGTGTTTTGATGAAACACTTTAAAAATTAAAACAGTTAATGAATAAAGGGCCATTTTTGCTCAATTGTTATAAGATTGGCTATTCTAAACATCTGTTGTCTATGTGGACACATTTTTTGTGTGCGACTTTGTGAGATCTTTTGAAAATTAGTACCTAATACAAGCCTGACTGATGAAGTCATGAATTATGTATTAGAAAATCTAATGGGCCAATTTCTGAAAAGATTAGAAATTAACAGTGAAACAGAAATGAGCATGTTCATAAATCTGAACCTGTTGTACTGCTAAAACAGACATTGGCAGATATATTTGGCAATTTTACATCCCAGATTACTGAAGCAACAGTCCTGTGCCAAAACAAACTAGCGAGCTGCACTTCTCAAACTCACTATCTCTGACAGAGACGGAGACAAAGAAAAGAACTAGGGTGCATCCGTGGACAGTTTACAACTACCATCAACAGAGAGAAAGGGCAAGGAAATCTCTAGGCAAAAGACAGAACAATAAAATCGATAAGAGAGAAGAAAAGAAAGAGAGATGAGAGGGAAAGACAATAACGGCTGCATACGATGTTGAGCGCAACTGTCCTAGTGTCCTCCAGTCTTATTTCCCTTTCCCCACAGCACTCTCTCTCCCTTTCTTCCCTTTTCTGAGATGATAGATCAGCAGAGCCGTTTAAGATTTCTCTGATGGGTTCGCAGGCGTGATGCAGTCCTCGTGTGTCAGAGAGGGAGAGAAAGAGAGAGGAGGATGCTGGGATAGGCGCGGATAGGGCGCAAAGTGGAAAGGCATCCATTACCACCGTTGGCCCTGTCACCTCTTCTGGCATGCTCATGTATCCAAACTCATACTTGCTGTGACTAATGACTGCGTCTCTGCCCACATTATCCACACTCTTCCTTCTCTACCCAGCAGTGGCTACTCCTGTCACTTAATCCTGCACTCGGAGATGCTGCTCAACTGCTAACACCACCTCCACTCTTAGACAGGGCACTGACGGGGACCTCCGTACGATAGCACTAAGGCAACGGAAGACTGTGCAATGTTTTAAAATCATACTTGTGGGAAATCTGATGAAATAGATGTGCTTGAGATGAAAGTGTAACAAAAGTGCAACGGAATTCAGTTAACCTTCAACAGCTGTAGATTTTTTTTTCCGTCAGAAACCTGAAGGATTGAGAAAAGTCAAAAAAGTTTGTAAAGTGACATTTTTTTACATTTAAATTGACAAAAATATTAGTACAATACATTAAAATAAATTTAAATTCTAGTGAACAGGCATTCTACAAAATTATTTTTGTTATAAATGTGCACTTTTTGTCTAAGTCCAAATCAAAACTAGACTGTAGGGGTTATTTTATTTTTGTGTATTTTCTTTTATTTACCACAACAAGCTAAGCTGCTTGAAAACATTTGTCAGTGACTGTATGATGCATGTTCAATATGATACGAAAGTGAGTAAGTGTTTGAGTATGCATGTATTTATAGGCATGAGGGCCTCGTCCTACTATGAATACGAGCTGATTGAGGTCAGTGACCCATAACAATCCGCTTCATCATGAAAAGGTTGCGTTTCCTTAAAACATAATTGCAAATAAACCTCTAGTGATTATTGTGGTTGAAAGGTTGATAAAGGTCATTGAGTAGGAGTGATAATTAGATGGTTTTTTACATGTCCACAGTACGTGTACAATGGCATGAATTCAGATCAACAAATACTTCACTCTCACAGAATGTTTGTTTTTATTTACGAATGTGTGTTTCACAACATAATTCAAAGTACATTTTTTGTCTACAATTACATCTTACCATCATTTTCTCAAAGAGGGCAAGGATTTCCTTCTCTGATGTGATCTTTGAAGAAAGCTCCTCAAATTCAGAGGAAGTGGACCAGTCACCAAAAGAGGAATGCTTGGACATGTGGGAGAGGGGTGGCCGTTCCTTTTTACTGCCAGGGATCCGGATACTGGAAAATCTGTCCAGCTAAAAGAAAGATTAGACATTTGAGAGAGTATGAGTGAGACTAGCTCAATGGTAATTATTAGCCTGTTGATTATTTCTCCATTTAGGTAAACATACAAAATATACACTATAATTCAAAACTAGTTAACAGACAATGCTACAAAAGCATTCTATATCAAAATAAATTATATTTATCAAAAAATTCTGATCCTGAAAGGTATCATAGCTTCCTTAAAAATATTAAATGGTTCACTGTTTTTTTCTAGGCTTGATTGTGTTTATGGGGTGCAGTCTAACATGTTAATGCTTCGTTTTTAAAAAAACGCATTATTTTTCACATAATTTACCTTTATTCCACACCGCTCTGTCCCTTCTCTGAGAAACAGGCTGATCTTTTCCTGTTTTTATGAAGACCCGCCCTCAGAAATAGGCAATGGGCTCTGATTGGTTAGCTAGCCCTGTGTGTTGTGATTGGCTAAACGTCCCGCCCCTCACCTCAGCGGCATGTGCTCCAGTTGTATTGTAAACAACGGCGTAGTTAATATCGCTTATCAGTTTGAGCCCGACTTGAGAAGCAGAGGATATTATTGAAGAGGATCGTGCAGAACCTGTGCAAGCACGGCTTTTAATGGTAGGCCTATATTTTTTGTTTGTTGTTGTCTCATACTTTTAGATATGCTGTTATTTGTAAATGCTACTGCTTATGTTAGCATTTAATATACGGTTTCATCCTGATTAAAGCTTTAATACAGTACGGCAACTGCACGCGCATCCATGTTTAAAATAAGTGTATAATTGGAGCAGTTCATTGTCTACCAGTTTTTGTAGGCATTAAACTGCCAGAATTTTAAAAGATGATATCTCCATTTGCATTGAACTTTCAGCTTCATAACTTTGCAGATATTGTTTATGCTCAAACAGCAACATTACACACTAACGTTAAAAAAGTAAAATCGCAATCAACCAGCCCTTTAAGCAACAACTGTGTTCAACTGTGATAATAAGAAATGCTTGCATGAGGACTGAATCCGCATATTAGAATGATTTCTGAAGGATCACGTGACACTAAGACTGCATTAATCTCTGCTGAAATTTGATATTTTAAAATATATTAAAACAGAAAAAAAAATACTTTAAATTGCAATAAAATTGTAATTTGTATATATAAAATATATATTTTAACAGTAAATATAAAAGTATAAAAAAGTATATAAAATATAAAAAGTAAATATGTATAAAAATGTACACATAAATATTACATTACAAAATAAATTATAAATTGCATTACAAAAACAAATGTTTCACACAAAACAAAATTATTAATAAGAAAACAAAAGCACAACAAACTGTATTAAACAGGCAAAAACACACATTCCCTCCTCATATTGCATTACTCTATTTTTTTCATAATAATATTATTATATAACATTATTAGTGCTGTCAAAATTTGCACATTAACGCAGGTGATTAATTTTTCCAGTTTAACGGTGTTAAAAATATTTAACACAGTTAACGCAGGGGCGGACCTAGGGTTGGCCACCACACTCACAACTGCTGCTTTTGTCTCTTTTTCTTGACAAGAATTGCATTTATTTAGACGCAGAATGTATTTACGAGCACATCAAACGAGAGACTTCGAGATGAGCACTCCACTTCGCCTCAGCGCAAACGAGCGGAATAAAACGATTGCAGAAATGGTACAGGTGACAATGAGCTTCAATAGAACAGTGAACTGCAGTCAGATGAGATGTTGTCAGGCCATATGTTAGTAAAAACAAATCTTCCTGTCCTGTCAGCCGTTATACTGGGCTCGTAGCGTGTGCTCTTCAATTACATGCACAAATACGGCAGTGTGCGCTGTAGCCCGTATAATTTCATATTAAAGCACTACGAGCAAATGAAACTGTGCATGCCTGTCAGATCCGCGTCGTGTTCAGCAGCGGCAGGTCTTAAAGTAATATCAGCCAAATAACCCAGCTGCTGTGATGTCTGTTTAATCAAAGAACAAAAAAAGAGGAAATCAATAACTTTTGTAGCTTTAAGGATTCATCGATATTTAATTTAGAATTTAGTGTTTGATAACTTCATTCAATTTCTGTAATTTCTGTACTTGCTGAAGGGCACAGATATCACATTTATTACAATGGGTTTATGTGAAGATTGTTTGAGTTCATTTAAATTAGAAGCTGTTGATTTTTAAAGTCTAATAAATGTTCAAATTGATAGCTCTCAATTATACTGTGATGTTGAATGGCTATAGTTAATGGTTAAATATTAGTAAAAAAATATTTCCTAGAGACATCAGTAATATTGGTATCAGTAGGGCTGTCGCGGTGAGGGAATTTCCCTTGCCGGTAATTTTGAGTGGCTCAATAGCGCGGTATGCGGTATTATCGCCATATATACACACACACACACACACATACATACATACATATATATATACATATATATATATATATATATATTTGTAATCTGATTTTCTAATCTGACTGGACAAGAGACTTTTTATTGATATTTCCACCTCCGCGCGTTCTAGACGGGCTGTCAGGCAGTGCAGTTACAGTGTTGCGCCACAAGGTGGTGGAAAGGGACTGTCATTCAACTACACGTTCAAAAACGCTGATTCATTCATTCAAAGAGACGTAATAAAACACGCTGTTGAAATATTTTTAACTTTGAGCGCCACTTTAGAAGGCTCAGCTGACCAGCTATGCGTCGATGCTAAGACAGAGATTTCGCTTTCCTTGGACATGACAACCTATTTTCACAAATATATATGACCCGGCCTGGAGGACAGATGCAAGTAATCGCACGCGCTCAGTTGATCTCTCTCTCATTCACTGTCTGTTTAGGCTTAAGTGCAAATCTACGGAGCCTCTGTACAAACCAGCATGGTACACATTATGTTATCATTACTAACCTGTTTAATATCCAGTCCACATGCATGAAGTGTAAAACGAGAAGGGAATAACCTTACAAAAAAAGAAAACGCTGCGGTTCTTGCATTCCTCTGCGGTTTGCTCATCAATAGCGCGGTATTGCGATATTGCGGTTATCGGGACAGCTCTAGGTATCAGTGATACTCACCTTCAGTCATAAAAAAAGATGCCATTAAAAATATACTGCCTTTATGTTGTTTCTACATTAATTTGAAGATTGAATATGAAATTATTGCAATATAAAAGTATATTTAAAAACGTAGGTCAGATTAATCAATTAATCGCAATTAATTTCAGAAAAAATGTATGATTAATTAGTACATTTTTTAATCGATTAACAGACTAAATATTATTAATAAATTATTAGTAGTAGTAGTAACCAGTTTTATTATTATTATTATTATTACTACTAAAACATCCCCAAAAGTTTTTCATCACCATTATTATAGCTCAGCAGTTGTGAAGACTAGAATAAAGGGCAACACTGCACAAACTAGTCAAACACACAGAATGTAATGTGTTGATAGCTCTATAGACTGTTAATGAGGTTAAAACTTTTGCAACAAGGCAACAAATCTAAGGCACAGCGGTCTTGTACATACCTACTAATGGCCTCAAAAGACCGGCCTGAACTGACCAGAAGTTTCACATCTTTATCAAACACCCACTTTAGCACTGTGAACTTTATGATCAGTTTTAGCTTCCTTATTGTAAGCAGACTTTCATTAGAAGTCTGTCAGCTTCACATTCAGCATGCCTAACAAACAGAGCGTCCGGGGATACAGTGTAACTCGCCGCCGATTTATATCGAGGTGGTGGGCCCCCGCATCACACAGATAATGATTTCCTAATTGGATTAGATTTGTCAGAGAGCTGTTTTCTCTCTCTCGGCCTGTGGGCGCAACGGGGAGAAGATGGGCGATTGAGATGTCAGCGTTGGCTGAAAAGGTAAGTGGTTTATTTTCAGGGGCCTTGCCCCCTTTCTTTCAAGGGGTGGGTGAATTAGCAGCAGTTATCTTAGAAAATATTTTTCACCGACGCCACCCATCGCGCATTATCTCAATAAGAAGGAGAGCAACACACTGAGATAATCAGCAATGACACTGATGTAAAATTAATTAAACACAAGCAGTAGATCAGAGTGTAGCTAGCGACTACAGTGCACGGAGCCAACGCAGGGAGCAAATGCATGGTGTCTGATACCAAACGACACCATCATCTGTCTAATTTGGTTTGCCGCTGCCCTAAAGTGTCTCTTCGCTACATTGAGTGATGGCACTGATCAATTTAATCACAGAGATTCATCCCCAGTGGAGGGAAGCGCTTCGCTATTCTACTCGTTACTGGTGAATAGATAAATAAATATGTGCAGCCGCTACCTCGATAACAACAACAGGCATCATACCGCAGCCGACGCGAGCTGATCTAGATGATGAAGTGCTTTTCAGGGCTTGTTTAGGTGTTTATGAGTGAGCCTGCGCCTTACTTTCATGCAATCTCTCTCTCCCTTTCTCACCAACAGACACTTTGATGTTACTAATGGCTCCATTCCCCTTCATTGCTCTTCTGATCACTCCACCAGACCCCTCTTCAGTAATTCAGCCTCAGCAACAAAACACATTTCTACCATGACCAAACAGCAGCCCTCACTTGGAAAAAAGCCCTCCATTATCTAAGGACATGATTCACTCATCGAAAACATGTTCTACACCATTCTGCCACCCCACAAATTCCACACAAAAATGCATCTGTTAATTCAACATTCGTCATTAAAGGAGTAGTTAACTCAAAATAAACATTTGCTGAAAATAAACTCACCCTCAGGCTACTCAAGGTTTACAGTAGATGAGTTGGTTTGTTCATTTTGACAAATTTAGAATTGCATAACTTGCTTACCAATGGATCCTCTGCAGTGAATGGGTGCCATCAGAGTCCAAACAGCTGATAAAAGCATCACAATGATACATAAAAAATCCACAACTTGAGTCCATCAATTAACATCTTTTAAAATGAAACCTGCATATTTGTAAGAAATAAAATCATTAAGGCATTTACGAAATTGTCGCTTCTGGCCAAAAA